GGCACAGAGGCAGCAAGGCGGGGAGGAAGCAACTAGTTCAGTCACTAGTTGGCAATCTGATAAGCTTATGCTTACTGTTTAGTCGACTAGTTGCTTACATCCCTAGGAAAAGGAAAGTCTCCTTTCAACCTGTGGTCCGTGGACACCTGGGGGGGGTCTGCATACTACGATAAGATTTCCAAACAGGTTTGCACCTTCACCTGAAATTTTTTTAGGGGTCCACAAATGAAAAAAAAGGAACTAGTTTTATAGTAGAAAAGCCCTGGATGCCAGAATAATCTAGCTAAAAGCACACCGCAGACTTATTTTTGCTATGGGATTATCAGACTCTTGTAACAACTATCCGGAACTGCAAGTTTAAAAAAAAAAAAAAAAAAAAACCCTCCCCCCCTCCCCCCCTCCCCAAAAATAAAAAAAAAATCTCAGACATCTGGGGGGAGAAAAACACTGAAAAAGGAAATCAAGGGAAATAAGTGTTATGGGATTAAAACAATCATTGGTTTTGCAAAATTTTATAGGAGATTACCTATTCAAAAGTGTACAAATTAGTAAACATCTGACAGTTTTAATTCACTTTTGTATAGTGGCAAAAGTGAGCAGGAGCTTTGGTAATTGGGACCAAGATACATTACACATGATGTTGGTGATCCAACACTTAGTTTCAACCAGCACATTCTTGGATGTCAGATACATGCATTTGACTACAGTAGATAGGGACAAAGGCAGAATAATTTAATTAAAAAAACAACTGCTCTGAAATAGAAAGTGTCAATTGCAAGTTTCTTGGGGTAGGTACCAAAATTTCCTCATTGTTTCTTACAGTGCTAAGCATATTAGTAGTGCTGAGTGACAATGCAGCATTGCTCATTTCAACAAATAGTGGAGAATAAGCCTGTAGAGAACACACTTATAGTAAACTAACCACTACATTCCTATATTTATAGTCAAGCCCCTTCCACACAATATATGATAAAAAACAATATATGATAGAAATAACACTGGTTAAATTAGGATTTCTATTATGTAATTATTTCTATGAATGGATGTTCGTTGTATGATGGTGCATGGAAGACTATCATGAATATGCATTATAGACAGAGTTTGACAAAAGTGGTCTTGATAAGTTATATTTTATCTATAATTTAAAGTACTGAAAGAGGCTCCTAATGTACAAGTTATTCAAGACATTATCACTCTCATGTTAAATTTGACGACACTACAGTCCCAACTACATAGTACAACCACCTTTACAATACAATCTATTGTGGTTACAACACAGTGTCCTGAAATGTGCTACAGACTCTTATAACATGTTGCAAAGGCTGTAGCAAAGTTCAAGGGGCATGATTAAAACACCTTCAAATCAGGCTGCAAATTACAGATGATCTTCCTTCTCTATACTTCACAGCTTTCAACACACTCATATTTCCCCATGCTCCCCTATTCCCTCAACATCACAACAGTGTCTCAGCAGATGAGGATTTGGACTCTGTTCATCACTCCAGCATCCATCATAATTTCAGAGTTCCCCAAAGTGGTTACTAAAAGACTACATGCGGTACTACTCCCAGAGGGCATAACACTCTCCACCCTTTGCCATCCTGGGAACAAGGAACATAGGTCGAGACCAAAAACTTGGATCCCTGCTCAGCTGCAGGCCGCCCCCACCCCTGCCAGTCCGCAGGGCTCCTCGGCACCAGCCCTCCATCAGGACTCTGGTCCTGGAACATCCATGGTCCTACCAGACCAGGGATGTTGCCAGACCAGAGTCCCGGTTTACAGAGGTTCAACCAGTATCTGTTTTTGTCAACACACAGTTCACGGTGAGAAAGAGAGGTGGGAGAAGGGAATTTTTTACCTGTACAGACTCTGCCTCCTACATAAAAAAAAGCTTTTCATGATCACTGAAGCTCTGAGGAAGACAGAATCTCTACTAATAATTTGGGTTTATAGCACTAAAAAAAGCCCATACAAAAAAGGAGCTCCCTAACAATAATTAAAGTTACAATAGTCACCCAGCAGCATTCAATACCAACAACTCTGCCAGCCAGCATCATCAAACATCAAATGGAGACAAATTCTTAGCTTGACAATACATGGAAACAAAAGCTCCTTCAAACCCAAATGTTTAAGGTCTTTTCCAAGAGACTTCACACTTTAAATCACATATCTTTTAAGATTTAAGAGAGAATTAATCTTTGTTAGGGTTTGAACTTGCAGTTCTACGGTTTCTAGGTGCTTTCATCATCAACGATGGAGTTCCACAGCTCACTACATTCCCTTAGGGAGTAATCTATTGCACAAACCTACAAACAGATACCTTGGGATATCAGCTACCACATGATAAAAAACAAGCACCCATTGGCTTTAACAAACACAGTCACTTGAAATTAAGTTCACCATACAGAGTGTTTTACCTTGGTCAGTTTTGGTTGCTGGCTTCCAGTTTTCAGCACTAATGACTGGCAGACAAACCTGCCCCTTTTCATCAATGTTAGGGTGATAGATCTTTGTTTTAAATGTAATCTTAGGAGGTTTGAAGGGATACTCTGCTGGAAAGTTGATTTCGATTCTGAAGGCTCCCTTATCATACGGAGGATTGTCCTGGAATGAGAAGACAAAACATTAAGGGGTTTCAGGCATCAGAACATATGTACTTGAAGGGACTGCTATAGCTCTCAGTATTTTGAATAGTCCCTGTTTAAGATGCACCTGTTTTCTGGGTAGGCCTTCAAGGCCTAGACTTAGGTTTGTGTGTCAAAAACATCAAAACCTGGACATTCTTTTGCAGAGGGGTAATAGCATTTTGTCAATATTTGTATTTACCCTGAAAGTAAGAAAAAAAACTACATATATTATGTCAGCACAGAGAGGTGGTTGACATTTCTACTAGGTGAAAGCAGAACTTTGTGACATTGGTGATGAGGCCTCCCATCTCAATTTTTTGTTATTCCTGATTTCATAAAGGTTTTCAAGTCCTCTCCTAGGGTGTGTCTAGACTACAGGGTTTTGTCGACAGAAGTGGACTTTTGTCGACAAAACTATACCTGCGTCTACACTGCCGCTGAGTTCTGTCGACATAACATTGACAGAACTCGTCAGTTTTGTCGACAGCTGTAAACCTCATTCTATGAGGAATAACGCCTTTTGTCGATGGAGTTCTGTCGACAAAAGGCGTTACTGCATCTACACTGTCCTTTGCGTCTACACTCTCATGTCGACAAAGCGGCTTGCTTTGTTGACAGAACTGGATGTAGTCTAGATGCTCTTTGTCAACAGAAGCTTTGTCGACAGTATCTGTCGACAAAACTTCTGTTGACAAAACCCTGTAGTCTAGACGTACCCCTAGATACCAACTTTCTGCCTCAAGTTTTCTGTTTCTAAATCTAGTTATTACATTTGTCTCCCAATACAGTGGTACAAAGAACAGAGCAATTTGACTTGTCAAGTTTCTCTTTACGTTCTAAGAGAACTTTTTTGCTTTGACTGCATAAAATCTAACTTTTTTTAAAACTAACAATAGATATTCACTGCATCTGCTGATGAGAACACTGAATTTGTATGCCGTTTTGGGTGCTTTTCATCAGATCATCTTGGGAGGAGTATGGTGAGAAGACTATGAAGTTAGGAGAGTGATTTTGTCATGCTCAAACTGAACAATGCAAAGCTCAGAAACACACAGCAACTGCTGCTAGACACTGTAGTTCTGGTTTCAAAATGTTTTTCAATTATTTTATGAGAAACCCAGAAGAAACACACAACTACTGATTTTTAGAGGCTATCAAAATATAGCATTTTTGTACTGCAAACAATTCCAGCATGATAAAACTACTCAGGATGCTGGGGAAAGGGTGATTCAGAATAGCCGAAAGTGTGTTTTTAATTCAGTATAAACTTAAAAAACAACAAATAGCCTGGTAGCACTTTAAAGACTAACAAGATGGTTTATTAGATGATGAGCTCATGGTTTATTAGATGATGAGATTTGTTAGTCCTGTATTTTGTTTAAGCAATGATGGTTCTTCCAAATGCATTTTTAAGCCTACTAGTCCTATGAACATCCTTAATACATAGGTAAAGCAGGAATTAACTAGGGTAAATAGTTATACAAACAAGTTACTTAAAAAAATCTGTCAGCTTTAAGTTAGAATCAGACCATTCAAAACAAGGGCCTGAGGTTTCTGGACCGAAGAGTTTGCTTGCTTCAAATTCCTCTTTTCTTCTGTGTCTTAACAGGAGCTTCATTTGCCTGCCCACTCCCTTAATGCAATTACTGGAAAATGATTTTCCTCTCAACATCTGCCTGAGATAGACTGGAATGTCTGCCTCCCTTCCCATGATCCGCGAGCCCTGCAACCAATCGACATGGGGACGCAGGATCTCTGAAGTCCCTGCTGGGATGACGACAGGGGTAGTGGTGGAGGGAGAACAGCCCCAGACATGCTGGGAGCGGGAGAAACAAAAACCACCTCCCGGGGACCAACGTCTGAGCTGAACGAGGCAGCCCCGGGGGCGGCAGCAATAGGGTATGGGGAGGAAAAGGGGTAAGAGAGGAGATCGAGGATCCAGAGAGCCGAGGAAAGCAGACGCCTGCCGGTAGAAGCGGAGCCTCACCAGGCCAGACGTCGGGGCGTAGATGTTAATAAGATTTAATGTCAGCCCCTCCACCCAAACCCGGAGGTGCAGCAGGTGACCCTGCACAACCTCGGCGGTCCCCAGGGGTCAGAAGTCTCCTCGTAGGGCAGGGAATCAGTAGCGGTGGTAGGGGAAGTTAGTATTTCCCCAGCGCCAGGCCCCGGTACCATGGGGAGTGAGGCACCAGAGGCCACAGTACAGGGGGTGATGGGGAACAATGGGAACTCCCACTCACTAGAAGCACCTGGGGGTCAGATGGTCGCACCCTGGGGCAACTCGGAGGCAGGGAGAAGGGAGAGTGGTGGGTCACAAGGGGAAGGAAAGGACAGATGTTGTCCCTCCAGGGCATGGTGATCCCCCTTTAAGGCAGCTGGGGTTAACCCTAAAGCCTCCACCTCCTGAGAGGGGAAGGGGAGTCCATTGCCGGCCACCAGGTGGTAGTCAACTGTGAAGCGTCCGGGGGCACAGAGGTAGGGATGGCTCCAGCATCCACCCCCAGAGGAACAAGGAGGATGTCATCACCCTCAGTGGGTGGGGTGGAACACTGGGCACGCTTGCAGCGCCTCCCCATGGCAAGCTCCCACCCCTTGAAGAAGGAGGGCTGGGCCCAAATGGGGAAAGAGCCAGAGGACAAAGGCAGTGGTGGGAGGGCGAGGGAAGACAGGGGCTGGGCAGCAGGGGAAGGGGAGACCTCCCCCTGAGGTAGGCCCTGTCCGAGTCCCGTCTCCAACCCCGCTGCCCTCTCCTCTGCAGGCCCGGCCTTGCCGCTTTTGGTGGTGGCAGCGGTGTCCGCACGTTCGTGGCTTCACTGGGGT